ACCGACGCCAAACGCTCTTCTTCTGTGGCCATGATGATGACTGCTTGTGAGTTTCTCTGTCTTTCGGTGGCCCTCTGTCCTTCATCATCATCATGCCAGCAGGAACTGGTCCATGTTCTGAGACAGTAACAAAAATGGATAGAATTAAAATGAGATAATGGGGGGATTTGTTGAAGAGCAAGACTTGATATGTTACAGGAAATCAAAATTAATTCTTGACCTTGGCTTTGAGCACCAAAAACATTTTCAACTTGACCCTATTGATGAACAAATTTCAAGAAAGTCATAGAAAAGGTACAGACATGTTTAAAAGATGGAGAAATCTCTGGCATTATTTGGTTTCTGAAACATTTTTGAAACCATGGTACTGTATTTCTGTACTATGAAAACATGTGTGTAGTATTGTATTTGGATGTATGCAAGGCTAGACTAATGGAATTCGTTTCACAAATAGTTGCCCAGGAAAGTATTGCAGTGAAATTAATGCTTTACCTTCTCCCAAGGAAAGATACTTCTGGATATTTGCAAATATGTATCCAAAGTTGCCCTTTTTGGGAAATGATTTGTAAATATAATGATTTCCATCTAACTGTCTGAACACTGTCTTATGAATCACTGCTTTATGGAACTTTTTAGGAAAAGTTCCACACAATTATTGTGTATACAATATACAATAATTCCTTTATACACATAAAACTGAAAAATTATGTATTACATGGTGACATACCAATATGCAAGAACATGATTTAAATTTTACAATGCATTATTATATATATTTAATGCTAGATCTGAGTTTGATGAAAACTTGACAAAACATTTATACATGTTGCGCCAACATTCGAACAAAATGGTTCAAACAACCTTGTATTTCTGGATTTAAAAATATGTACACACAAATCCCACTCTCGAAACAAAGATCTAAATACTACACCTTAAATAAACATCATCAACAAAGAAACGGAAAATCACTTTTTCCAGCACTAATTTAACGGCGAAGAAATTGACATTATAGAATGGGTAAGCAATGAAGAAATTTTTTCCACCCACCCAAAAAAAAAAACCCCCCATTCACGGACAGTTTCAATGACGAAAGGTACACACACAATCAATCGATCGTGAATGAATCTCACACCATTTCCGCCGTCAATGAATGGGGGGGTCATTTTTTGGGTGAGTGAACCCTCCCATTCACAGACAGACACGAGTCATGCTGCTGTCAATGAATGGGAGAAGTGGGGCGGGGAAGGGTTTCATGTATACCCTCGTTTTGGGCGAAGTTCTTCGGCGGGGTAGGGTTTCTTGTCTACCCTTCGTAGGGTTTCATGTACCCTCGTTTGGGGGGGGGGGGGAAGGGTTTCTTGACTACCCTGGTCAAAGTGGTAATGCTGCGCTGATTCCGGAACCTGTAGGATTAGTAGTGGTAACAGATCCCACCATCTTCCTTCGAAATTTGCACGTCATACGGAGGCACCTGTGATAAAATAAGGATACATGTACACGAGCGTGTTACGGTTGGGGAAATCCGTTTCTCTACCAGTTCACAAATCATGGAAATATGTATCATCATGCATACACAATAATATAATAATATAATATAATAATATAATAATAATAATAATAATATAATAATGCATTCAGTGGAAATATTTTCAAGGGGCCAATGTACAACAATCTCAATGATTGAAAAAAGTCATTTATTTTTAAATAATATTAAATATGTAAATCTTTTTAATTTACATTTTGAAACTGAACTATCTGAATAAAACTGTTCTTCATTCCAGTGAGCCAAAAAAATAGAGCCGACTGTTGGACCACCATCCTCCATCATCAAATTAAAAGGGCAAATACTGAAGACGTTCTAATGAATCTTTTTCATTGGCTTATGCATTAATCATTTTTTATGTCATGTTGAATTTAATATTACTGCTGCTTTGAAAATCACGTCGTCTCCAGTGTATTGCCCTTCAAACATTTTTAAGAATAACCTCTCTCTGAAACAAGAATGCACCATAAGAACATCATAATATTTTACCATATACAGTCCTTTCACGAGGTTCACAACAAAATGTCATTTTATTTCAAATTGAAGATATTCAGAATAAGTTGTTCAATATGAAACTCACTTGTGGATCTGCGTGTCTTCACCAAGAATGAAGTTGCCTTCGACCATTGCCCCGGAATCTGAAAAAGCAAAAGCAAATTTTTTTTTAGTACACCAAGTAAATCTAATCTGAGAAAAAAAGGCAGATAATTTGGACAAGTTCTTTCCCTACTAAACAGTTGTTCTCCTTCGAAATGTTTCCTCATTCTAGCAGCACAACAAAGCACGTAGTTGTTTTTTTTTGGCATTTGCATTTGGTTTTATTACTTTTTCCTTCCTTGATTCTCCATGATGGTGTGTGTGTGTGATTATGTGTGATTTGTCAGGGGTTTCAACGAGGACTACCCACTGCAACAGGCCAAGTACAATGTGGAAAAGTACTATTCCGTGGTCGGTGTCCTGGAGGACATGAACAAGACCCTGACTGTGTTGGATAACTACATCCCAAGGTTCTTCAAGGGTGTCAAGGATGTTTATTGGAGTGAGTCCTATAAGAAAAAAAAAAAAAA